TTAACTATTTTTTATTAATTCCCATGTGTTCAAAATGCATGTATATTTGGGATTCTTTGTATTATGGCCTTGTTATCTCACCTGGTCACACAATAAAAATATTTTTAATTTTGTGTTAATCATTTTGTGAAAAAGTACAATAAATTGTAATACGTTCATTGTAATTATACGATTGTACGTTCGTAAACATGTCTCTGTGTGCAAATAAATATATGTATTATTATTACCATTGGTCATCGAAAGGCTCAGGGTTTAAAAGCACTTCATTTTCACCTCGTCACTTGTTTATATAAACTTTTTTACCCTCTATTTTTGTAACTCCTGCTGCATGCTCCTATGTTCTGTTCCCATTTTCTGCATTTTCTCTATTCAAGTGATTGAACGTTAGCATCCTTATTCTTCTAGTGTTTTCTAATATAGCTTTGATTCAATTCTATTTCATCTTTCGGATTTGTCTTAAAATTCATGTCTCTGCTTTATTCATGTTTCCTTCTGTAATATGTTAACATGATTTGTACAATATCTTCTTTCAAGTCGAGACGTGGTTGTTGCTCGTCAGTACGCCCTTATTCGCAAAGGCCGCATTGGCGCTACCAGTTCTCAGTCTGTTGTCTGTTCTCTCTTATTTATGTCTGGTTAAGATGCTGATGCTGTAAGTTTGGTGATTCACATCTTCTAATTCTTAATTTCCTTCTGATATCCTTAGGATAGAGTGTCAATGGACTTTTTTTTATTTTGAATAATAAATTAATTATGCACTTGCACTATAGTAATATAGTAATATATATTACTTGTTACGCGATTTGTATGAATTTTACTTACTACCAAAAGATAATTGCTTTTTGGTAGTGAATCTTCCTTTCACCCAATCTACACATCCCCACCATCTGCTAGCACCTCGTTGATCTTACCATACAAATTAAATAGGATATGTGACATGCAGAATCCTTTCCACGCATTTTATTTAATTTTCATGCCATTGGTATTGCCTATGCACCCTTCTAAAAGATGGGATCGTCAATATGCCGATACCCATGATTTTCTGGATTCAATCCTTCATTGACCAGACATCTTTTTGAAATGATACTGAATATTTTGGTAGTTTCTGTGGAACCTTTTTTTTCTGAATCAGGATTGGGTGTATCCAAAAGTTTGTTTTCTTTTTCATTTTATCTTTCTGGCTACTGATTTGTACTTCTGCCATGATTGCCACTAATTATCACGAAACACTTAGGAAACGTTTGATACTATTCTTCCCCACTCAGTCTCCACTTTCACCACGTTCACTTCACAGTTGACCATTTTGCTTTTGAGGCACTTCAATGATTGTAATTACTCGCTTTTATCGTGCTATCCTGAAGGCAAATCGATTGCAGTTTTCTCGCTGCCTTCGATGGACTCCTCCCTAAAATCCGAGCTTCATTTACTTTGTGCCTCCAGATAGTACTGGCATTACAGTACATATAAAGTTCAGTCAGTAATATGTATATATGCTTATGCTTATATGCATATGTCTATATAAATATATAAAGACTAATTATTGAATAAACCCATCAGATCAGTTTTGGTAGCAATATACAAAGCTTATGAATACTCGATAGTTTTTAAATGACGATAAAAATGCCATTTTTACAGCCTTTATTTTGTAGATAAAGCATTATTCAAAAATTAAAAATATCGAACTTTGTCAGGGGAAACTATTCGTCACAGCGTGCTATCAAAACGTATAAAAAACCGATCCAATCGCTCCTGCGGTAAAATCATTAAAAAAAATTATTTAACTGAATTAGGTATTTATCAAATTCAAATTCACTACTTCAGTTGTAAGTGCTCCTAGCTTGGGCAAACTCCATGCTAAGTATACTGCAAAACATACTAGGAAGGCTTCAGAATTTTTTATAAACATATTAAACATATTAAAAAAAATAATAAAAAATGTACATATTTAATTAATTTATTAATTACGTTTTAAGACTTAATTTACTTTTTTGGTAGAAATCATAGGTTATATTAATTCGGAGCTGCCAGACTTCTACAAATTTAAAACCTATAATTGCTTGGCCTTCGACGAGGTTAAATATTGCGAAGAGGCTTTCTCCGATTGAAGCTGACATGAAAGCTTGTCATTTAAGCTAAAAAATCCATAATATTATAAATTTGGAATATTTTTTTTCAATACTATCTCGAAAATAGACAGTTCTCCCATCTTGATTACACTCGCTTAAGAGTTTAAGTCGAAGCATCCAGCATTCGTAAATAAATAGTTAATAAATATTCTTATAAACTTTCCGTAGGGCAAGTTATAGTAATTGCAAAAAAAAAACCGAAAATGAAAATGTTTACATATCTTTACATTCCTGGGCATTTTGGTGTATGTGTAATGTGTATGCGAATACAAATTTGTCGACGGTTTTGGGAACACGCATCAAACGATGTGAATAATTAAAAAAACATCCGATTCGTATTGAAGGTGGGACGTGTTGATTAGTTTTTGGCAAAGGCAGGTTCAGCGGTTTCGAAGATACGGGGCAAAAAAAGTGCAAAAAATTGTAATTCAAGCGTCCGATTTGAATGATTCAAAAAACATTTAATTTGTATTGATTAAATGAAGAACTAGTTGAATTTTTGGGAAGGCAAGTCTGGCAGTTTTGGAGATCCAATAAAGAAGTAATAAAAGTGCCATTCGACCGCCAAAAGTGAGAATTTAGACCATTTAGACATGCGCACATCAAATTATCAGATATTTTATAGGGATTTTAATAATACATAAGTACAAATTTTGTTTACATTGCTATGGGTTCCGTATCAATGCTTAGCCGTTAGACTGCAACGCGATGCTTCGATATTTTGTCTCTAAAACAATTATGCAGATGTTAAATGTCCTTATTCAAACAATCTAACTAAGAATAAGGAATTCGTGGATTCCACGTTGAAGCAATATCGCTGTGACGGGCTTGATAATTAGCAAAAATTTTCCATTTCCAATGCTATTGTTGTAAATTTCCATTACTTAAGTAATTAGCTATTACTGATACTTTTTGCTGTAGTTATGTAATAAGAATTCTTACAAAATTCACGTTCGAAAGCTCCTGAAAAATTGACATTTGTATTCCGAAATAGTCGCCACAAAAAGTTAAGAGGATTGAAAACTTTTTTTTATTTATTTAATTAACAGCAATCAAAAGTATTAAGTGCTCTATGAACCGTTTTGAATATCTCTTAATTTGGGATTTACGACGTTTTTAGAAGGCAATCCATAGATTGCCTAACTAACTGAAATATGTATATTAATTTCAGAACACTATTAGAAAGCAACTACGCGGTTGCCTTGCGAATTGTGATATTACACAGCTATGCCCACGAAATGCGTTTTTCACTTGATATGAGATTATATTTGATATTTATAACCTCAAGTAAAAATTTGACATCAAGCTGCCTGATGTCGAGCTTGGCTGAGGTTGGATCGAACCCAGCTAGTTAATGCAACCCCCGGTCTTTACCGATTACGCCATTGCTGGCTCAAAAACATAAGATATTGCTTTGATAAAAAGTTTAATATTCTTGAAAGATTTCAAAACATGAAAAATCTAATTTTTCAAAAATTTCAAGAACGATTATATTTAGAAGCTTTTTTAAAAAAAATAGTTTTTGATACGGGAAGTTGCTGCAAGTAGCATCAAGGCACGATCCCGTGCCCCACTATTTAATTTCCCGTAGGGTAAGTTATAGTAATCGCAAAAAAATCGAAAATGAAATTTTTTATATATCTTTACGTTTCAAAGGTTTCTGAATATATTGGCATACCTTAGAAAAAATGGATGTTTATGTGTGTGTGTGTGTGTGCGCGCGGATACAAATTTTCGTCGACGATTTTGGGTACACCAAAATCAATCGATTTGAATAATTCAAAAAACATTCGATTCGTATTGATAAGTTCGTCGACGATTTTGGGTACACCAAAATCAATCGATTTGAATAATTCAAAAAACATTCGATTCGTATTGATAAGGAGACGTGCTGATTAGTTTTTTGTTTAGAAAGGCAGGTCCAGCCGTTCCGAAGATACGGGGCAAAAAGTGCCCAAAACGGTAACTCAGTTTTTAAGAGAACGGAGCGTCCGATTTTAATAATTCAAAAAACATTTTACTTGCATTGACAAGATGAAGAACTGATTAAATTTTTGGGAAGGCAGGTTCAGCGGTTATGGACTCGCAATAAAAATAAGTTAAAAAATGCCATTTGGCGGTGAAAAATGTTTATTGGACATATGTACATCAAATTATCAGATATTTTTTTTTATAGAGATTTTAATAATGTGTACAGATTTTGTATACATTTCTTTGGGTTCCGTATCAAGATTTTTAATTACGGTACGGGAAGTTTTAGCAATTTGCTTGATCAGATGTTGAACGGGCAACCCCGCAAGCTTGGTGTCTCTTAAGTGTGCGCATGCGTCACGTTCGTTCCAGACGGACTCTAGATCGTATTGAGTGGAGTGGAGTGTACATCATCGGCGAGAGCTTCGACTTGTTATACATGTATTATCTATGGTCGTAGTTGGACTGACGTCACGTAGGTGCTCGTCGCCATGTTTGCAGCATTGTGGCGTTCGGTGTACGTGAATAATAATCGATTTGTTCTATATGTGAATCATAAAGTGCTGCTTAATCGCCATGTTTGCAGCATTGTGGCGTTCGGTGTACGTGAATAATAATCGATTTGTTCTATTATGTGAATCATAAAGTGCTGCTTAATATCGTCCGATATCGCTTGCATATCGACATCGGGTGCAATCCATACATCGCGCCCGATTTCTGACTCAAAGTTACAAACTCAAATATGCAATTATGGCGTTTAAACGCGGCTACGACAGATCGCTGTGCTAGTGTCAACCTTATTAGATCGTTTTCGAAAACGATTCTTAAATACAAATAGCATCGCCAATCGCCAATGCTTGGTTTGTGAGTGCACGTTCCTTCGATTTGTCAAATCGTTACATGGTGTCTTTTTTGTGTGACGTTTGTTTAGATTTACTTTGAGTGTAGTATATGTTTATTTATTCCGAAAATAATTTTACTTCGATTTACTATATTTTCGACTCGTATAATATACAATGTGGCTTTTAGTATGTTCGTATGCTTTGTTAGGAGCGATCTCAGTGGAAGCTGCTTGGCAGGAGAACGTACGGCCAAAAATGTACGTCCAATTAGGTGAGTCAGACATTGTTTTTATTTATTTTATTGAGCTTTCCGAACAGACGGGTCAACTGTCAAATGCTCGCCGAGTCGTTTTTGAATTACAGTTACAATGATAATGATATAATATACGTTGACGCTTGCGTAATTAGCCGAAATAAATAAATAAGACTCTGAATGTTTTTTAATTTTATATTTGATAACCCTTAAATGCTGTTAAATTGTATATATATATATATATATATATATGTATATATTAAGTATGAAAACATTGCTCAGCTTTTTGCACGCACTTTGTTTCATAAATTACAGACTTTTCGAGACTCATCTTCAGTGTAATTTTTAACAGTAAAAATATATAATTAACACATCATCAAATTTTTAATTACAAGTTCAATACTTATATTACATAGTGCATTACGATATCCTAATACCATCGATTATTGAGTTTTCTATTTTAACACTAAGATTAAGTAATTTTTTCACTGGAAAGCTAGGATTATAGCCGAAACGTGTGGATGTAAAATAAATTTTTGAAAGAAATTCAAGTTTTTTTATTGGTGTTATGCCCGATTATCAGACTTTGTTAATACTTACGTCAACATATAAGTGGATCGAATATTAAATGTTAAATATGAACAATATAACAGTCAGATTTTTAACACACACTTCATTTAATAATTACAGACGTTTCGAGACCATGGCATGCCTCATCTCCAATGTATTTTCAAAACAATAAAAATTATATACTAATACATTATTTAATATTTTATTTAAATTAAATTTAAATTATATTTATTTAAACCATCTCTTACAATGCTTGACACAGTACTCAACATTTGAATATATACAGAAATATTTGAAAACAAATTTTAAGATGAAGGGACATATTCATCAGAATTCATATTACTTGTTCTTTATTAAAACAATTGAAATTTTTATATTCCAACATTAAAGACGAAACTCCTTATATATATATATATATATATATATATATATATATCTTGATAGTTTTTTCGACGTTGAAACATATTTCAAAGTAACTAGCAGCCCATTCGTCGAAATAAAAAAGGTTTTTTTGAGTGTTTTTGTCCTGTGGTGTGTATAATGTTTCTATGTTATAATTAATCTATATTGGTGTTTATATTAGTTAATAAAATTTTCAAATTGTTGTAGTTGCTGAATGATGACACGCATCTTGTGTCGAAACGTATAAATAAAAGTTTTTATACTTTATACCTTTTTTATTTCGACGAATGGGCTGCTAGTTACTTTGAAATATATATATATATATATATATATATATATATATATATATATATATATATGTCGGATGTCTTGTCAAAAACAACATATTTTCACGAATTTATTACAACTGCAATTACAAATTAGTATGCAATTGCTGACAGGTTTAGTGACACATGTTAGGATCATTATTTATTTCTCTGCAATATATTTTCTGCAATTTTGAAAATCTTTTGATAACATAAAAATGACATTCTCAAGAATTTTTCTTTTTATTTAATGTCTTTGAAGATGTATAGGGCAGACTGGATACGCTTGTGCCACTTTTTTTATTTATTTTTTTATTTATTTTTTTATATATATTTTTGAACAGCAATCAGAACCTTACGTCCTATGAGCTGTTGGGCTGAAACTTCTCCTTACCTCGTATTTATTTTAGATGGTAACCCAATGGTTAATCCATTCATATTTGATGATTTTTTGTTATTAGAATTACTCTAATAGGGCTGACATTTTATTGGTGCAGCAATGCCGGGCAAGGGCTATTTTCACTTGGAAACATATTGCTATCTATATTTTCAAGTGACTTTTTTTTGACAATAATTGTCCACACCCCAGGGACAGTTGTGTCTGTAACTAGGTTAGCGAAACAATAGGTATAACATCAATATAACTTTTGTTAGAAACGACTTTATTGTCAGAATATGTAACACAACACAACATAATCATTTAAACAAATCTTATGAATATAACAACACATAATTTTTTAAATAAAGTTGTTGAGATTTTTTTTTAAATATTTTTTCTTTTATATTGAATTTTTCTTTCCCTTTTTCTTTCACATTTTGTCTTATTGTTAGTTAATTTAAAACTTAAGTATATTAGTTGGAATTAAAATACATGCCAATACCATACCCACAAAATTTGTTCCAACTGTACCCAACGCACACAAATCATCATTATGACTGACTTATCATACCAATGTTTAACTTACAGCAAAATAACAAATAAATTGATCTACCTGTATACAGTTAACAATTAGTATTGTGGGAGTTGTAATGATTATGATATTATATTAAATTAGAAACTCCCAACATAATAAAAAAATATAAATTTATTAACTGTAAAAATATTTCGATCTCAAAAATATACATGACATGTCCGATTGTTTTTTACAAATCAAAACCTGCCTGCTTGATATCGCCACACACTCCCTGCCCAGTGTTGATCTCACAGTTTAAAAAAAAAAAAAAAAAAAAAATACAGGGAAACACGTTATAAAAATGTGGTGGGAAAGCAGATTATAGCAGACAAGTGTTGTAATACTGGTCAATTACAAATTTCCATGTTTCGTCAGCAGATCCACCGTATGTGGTGATTTGATCTGCCATCAACTCCATATTCTGCATAATGTTCTCGATCTAATGGGTATTAGTTATATCAGAATAACTTAATGTTTAGAATGCATAATTTATGGGTACAGTTTCCATTTCTGCAAGCGTTGCATTCGTATCTGATGAGTTCCGATCAGAGAAAGAAGTTGGCTCTTTATCCAAATCAGGATCATTGGTTTCTTTGACATAAGAGTCCAGAATTGTGGAATCCAATAAATTATGTCAAATTTTGTTTTGATTCGTCGTTATCACCGATAATGGGAGGTAGCATTATAAGACGATTTGTTGAGTTAACAGAGAAAGAGAGGTTGAATTGCATTCCAATGAAAAGTTCAGGCTCCAAATTATTTTTTCTGTCAGCAATAAACACTGAGGTCTGGGTATACCAAATGAGTAACCTCGGAAGTCTGATCCAGATAGTAAGTGCGTTAACTATGATGGATTGGACTGGACATACCTTATAGGTCGTCACTGAAGACCAGTGATTATGGTGCTGCGTCAAAATCAATTTTTCTTAAATCTTCGAAAAATAAAACTCCTTTATCTTCATCTCCATCGTCGTGAGTCACCAATGTGGGAGTTGTAATGATTATGATATTATATTAAATTAGAAACTCCCAACATAATAAAAAAATATAAATTTATTAACTGTAAAAATATTTCGATCTCAAAAATATACATGACATGTCCGATTGTTTTTTACAAATCAAAACCTGCCTGCTTGATATCGCCACAGTATAAAAAGAAAAAAGACAGCAATAATGGGAACTTGTTGAAATAAACATAGTACATCTTTCTTCTCTTGAAATCAGTACAGTTTAGCTGTTTTGACGACTGTCACTACATATATATTTTAACATTCTATATATATATATATATATATATATATATATATATATATATATATATATATATATATGATAAAATTGTTTTTTTGGGCATCCATCCAGTAATTAAAAAAAAACAGCTTTATTGAAAAATGTTTTTATTTAGAGAAACAGACGTTTCGGGTCTTGATTTGACCCATCTTCAGTGCATACAAATAAGTTTTTAAAAAAAATAACACAAAAAAACACACAAAATTGCACTAAAAAATAATTAATTATGAAACAAAAAATTGGTAAGACGTCAAGTTATGAAATTTTTTTAATAGTTTCTTCAGCAAAGTATCTTATTTTGATCCCTAGTATCCGAAAGTCATGTGTGCCTAAGCGACTTTTTTTGATCTATACAAATCAACCCGCTGTAATATATGTATCTATTTGTATACACAATATTGTGTTAAGAATGGTTCATTTTGACGTTGAAATGGATGAATCAATTTTTGGAAGGCATAACATCAAGTAAAAAATGAGAATGCAAAGACTTTAAAACATCTTCATTATTTCATAAGTTTCAACAAAAAATTATACTTCATCTGTGGATGTGAATTTTTCTATAATTAAAAATAACGTAAAATAATAGTACGAAAGTGCAGTGATTTAAAGATTGGCACGTAAAAATGGATTTTTTGGGGTGAAAAGTATATATTTTTATTATTATTAATTGCTGTTTAAGTAATCTAATTTTATTTAAATTGAATTTTTAACTTCCCGTAGGGTAGTTATAGTAATGGGCCGAAAATCGAAAATGAAAATTTTTGCATATCTTCACGTTTTGACGGTTTCTGAACATTTTGGCATGCCTCGGAAAAAATGGATGTGTGTGTTTTTTTGTGTGTCCGCATTTTTTCGTTCACGTTTTCGGGCGCTGGATCAACCGATTTGAATGGTCCAAAAAACATTCGATTCCTATTAATAGGGAGATGTGCTGATTAGTTTTTGGCAAAGGCAGGTCCAAAGAGTGCAGAAAATAGAAATCGAGTTTTTGAGAGAACGGAGCATCCGATTTGAATGATCCAAAAAACAATCTATTTATAATGATTAGGAGAAGTTGTGGCAATGGGAGGTCCGGCCGTTTTGGAGATGCCGAGCTAATTGTGCAAAAATGGCAGTTTTTGAGAGAACTAAGCATCCGAATTGAATGATTCAAAAAACTGTCTGCTTGTTTTGACAAAATAATTGCTTTTGGCAAAAAAATATTTCTAAAAATTTTTTTTCAATTTTTTTTTTAATTTTTTTTTTTCGTATATCGAAAATAATTCAGATTTCAATTTTAATTCTGGCTAAAGTGCTAAAGCTCACCTATATACTTTAAATAAATAATTTTAATTTTGTAATTCAGTTTTTATAATTCTAATAAATATTATACAATGTTATAGTATTTATAATAATCTCTTTCAAAACATTTAATATTCTTCGAACATTTCGTTACGGTACGGGAAGTTCCAGCAATTTGCTTTGAGGCACGATGCCATACACAACTAGTTATTGTTGA